TCGTCGGAAAAAGGGCTAGAGAAGAATAAAGTAAAATCAAAAGACAATTTTGACACGGATAGTCAGTCTTCGAGGGGCCGGTTTTTGCCCTACGAAAGAACCGAAGGCCACGGCAAAAACTTCCGATCAACAGACAAGTTTGCTACCGATAGAAGGACTTATCGCGGTAGAACAATAGATCGTTGCAGGTCAAAGAAGAGCCAGGTGCCCGAGATTCTTCTTACCCAAGCTTTTAGAATATAATTTCAATGTTAGTGTAGCAGAGTTGATATAAGCTATGAGAAACATCAAAGAAGCACGGTTCCCGAAGCCGATGAGATCTGATCCCAACTAGAGGGATCCCAACTTATAGTGTGAATACCACAGGATCAATGGCCGTCAGACTGGGGACTGCCGATATCTCTGAGAAGAAGTGGCGACACTATTGAAGAATGGTCATCTCAGAGAATTCTTAAGTGTCTGGGCCAGGAACAACTATGATCGCAACCGGGATCACATAGAACCCTCGAAAGCAGGAGAAGATCCCTCATGCCAGACGATCAACATGATATTCGGGGGGAACGAGATCACTTTCTCGGCACAAAAAAAAATGAAAGTATCAATAACCCATAGCAAGAGACTTTGGAAAGTTGCTGAAGACAACATCACTTTCATGGAGGAGGACACAGATGGATTGTTTTTATCGCACAACGACGCATTATGGATTTCGTTAAATGTGTTAGACTTTAAAATCAAATGTGTTCTAGTGGATCTAGGAAGTTCGGCCAATATCATACAATGAAGGGTATTGGAGAAATCTAAACTCATCGGAAGCATTATTCCGACCACAAAACTCCTCGCCGGATTCAACCTCACGAGCGTGATAACCCGAAGAGAGATTTTGTTGCCCATGAATGCTGAAGGATTGATGAAAACGACTTTTTTTGATGTGGTGGATGGTGATATAGGATATAATATTACTTTGGGAATGCATGGTTGTACGAGTTGAGAGCCGTACCATCAACATATCATCAGTTGCTGAAATTTCCAATACCTGAAGGAATTAGACAGATAAGGGGAGACCAACTGGCATCAAGGGAGATGAATGCGATTTTGTCTCTAGTAGCAAAGGGAAGGAGCACGCGGCATAAAAGCTACACGGCCGCTCGATCCTAAATCAAATGGGGTTAGCCCGGGGGTGGAAGTGTCAGAATCTTATCTGGTGCCAAGGTATTTCCAGGTACCAGAAAAGACGGATGCAACAAAATCCATGGTGGACGAGCTCGAGCAAGTTGCATTATTTGAAAAGTTCTTAGAAAGGAAACTCCACTTGGCAACATGACTGCACCCCGAGCTTAGGTCTGGCTTTATTGAATTTCTTAAATCTAATGTCGATTATTTTTCATGTCGCCTGCAAACATGACAGGTATCCCAATGGAGGTATCCGTACACAAGCTAAGTTTTGATCCCAACATCCCTCCGGTAAGATAAAATAAATACACTATTATGGAGGCTAGGAATAAATTCGTTAAAGAAGAGGTAACTCGCTTATTTGACATCGGTTCGATACAAGAGGTAAAGTACCTAGACTGGCTAGCTAATGTAGTAGTAGTTTCTAAGAAGAACAATAAATTTCGTATGTGTTTAGATTATAAGGACTTGAATAAGGTATGCTCGAAAGACTCGTTCCCACTGCCAAACATCGATCAAATGATCGATGCGGTGACCGGGCACGAATTAATGAGTTTCCTCGATGCTTATTCCAGGTCCAACAAAATTAAGCTGAACCCGGAAGATCAGGAAAAGACTTTGTTCATAACGAATTTCGGCACATATTGCTATAATGTGATGCCCTTCGGGTTGAAGAACGCTGGAGCCACTTATCAGCGGCTCGTAAACAAGATGTTTGAAAAACAAATAGGGAAAACTATGGATGTTTATATAGACGATATGCTCGTTAAATCTTTGAATGCAGGTGACCACCTTAAGCATCTGGAAGAAACCTTTGGCATCCTAAGGAAGCATAACATGAAGCTTAACTCCGAGAAATGTGCGTTTAGGGTTAGCTCTGGCAAGTTCCTAGGATTTCTGGTATCACGAAAGGGGGTTAAGGTAAACCTCGATAAGATCAAGGCCATCGAAGACATCCCAGACCAGCTGTCAAGTGTGAAAGAAGTCCAAAGGCTCACTGGGAGATTGGCCGCTTTGAGCAGGTTCATTTCCTGGTCGTCATAGAAATGCCACCGTTTCTTCGCACTGCTCAAAAAGAAAAACAACTTCGAATGGACCCCGGAGTGCCAACAAGATTTGAGAGATTTGAAAAGGTACTTATCAAGCCCTCCGTTACTTTCAAAACCAAAGGTAGGTGAAACACTATTGGTCTACCTTGCAGTCTGGGAAGTGGAGGTAAGTGCAGTTTTAGTCCGCGAGGACGAAGGTGCGCAATCTTCCATTTATTATATTAGTAAAATTTTAACGAAACTAGAAGCTCACTACCCGTATTTGGAGAAGCTGGACTTAGCTCTCATAGTCGCCGCTCGAAAGTTGAGGCCCTACTTCCAATGTCACCCGATAGCCGTGGTGACCACATTTTCTCTGCGGAACATCCTTCACAAACCCGAACTCTTGGGTAGGTTGGCCAAATGGGCCGTTGAAATGAGAGAATTCGACATAGAATATAAACCAAGGACTGCGATTAAGTCACAAATCTTTACGGACGGGGCCTCCAACGTAAAAGGGTCTAGGCATGGCATGATACTAACCACGCCTTCGGGAGAAACCCTAAGGCAAGCCATCAGAATGGTCCCTCTAACTAACAATGAAGCAGAGTATGAGGCTTTGATTGCAGGACTCGAACTGGCCTGGGGACTAGATTCCGAGGTCATAAAAATCAAGTGCGAGTCACAGCCGGTGGTAAATCAGGTCCACGGGATCTTCGAAACCAAAGAGGAGCGCATGCAATAATATGTGGTAAAGGTCCAGGCTCTGCTGGCTCGATTTCGGGAGTGGTCGATTACTCATATCCCGAGGGAAGAAAACACTGAAACAGATGCACTAGCTAACCTCGGTTTATCAACGAAAATGAAAGGGTCAGAGTCCGGGATGGTAGTACAATTGATGCACTCGGTCTTGGATGCAGACAACTGCTACGAGGTAAATACAACTAATTTGGTCTAGGACTGGAGGAATGATACCATCAATTATCTCGAGCATGGAAAATTGCTCGAAGTTTCCAGGGCATCCCGTGCACTGCGTGTCAAAGCAGCACGGTATAGCTTCAAAGCTGGGTAGAACCCATTGAGTTGCTGAATCGGGCGAAATCAGATATGAAAGGATTTCTAGTAGAAGAAATATTAAATAAGGAACTTATGAGTGCGGTTCCATGATTCCCGAAAGGATGAAGCCGTTGCCAAAATGATATCATTTGTAAAACAGAGATGGTCTACCAATCAAATAAACAAAGACTTACAGGAAGCTGAAACCTAAGTACAATGTGAAAAGAATATTAAAGTTTCTTCAATATTTCAGGATTAAATTATTCGCTTGTCTAGAAAGTTGTTTCTTCAATATTTCAGGAAGCTGTTTTTCGTGATTTCATCTTCATTTCAAGGCTAAGTATTGCGTATTTCTTTAATTATTTCAGGATTAAATTATTCGCTTGTCTAGAAACCACGTATAAATTTAACTGTACGAGCATGAATTCGAATGTTTACTTGATTACGTGTTTTAAAATTTTTTAGCCGCATTTATTTCTAAATAAATAGATAGGAATCTAGCTTTCAATTATAAGTAGTTAGCCAAAAGGAGCTTTAAAGGTCAATTTAATTGAAGCAGAAGCCATTATATGTTATGGATGAAGAAAAAACTTTTTTGTTTGAAAGAAGTTAAAGAAAGGTTGAAGAACAATAAAGAAGATTTTAGGAAGTTTGGAGAGTTATGGAGTATGAGTAAAGAAGGTTGATGCGTATAAGTAAAGGTTTATGCGGCTAACTTCGTGGCCATGATTACCTCGATAACCGGCAAAAGCTATGCTGAATCGTGGGATAACACATTTTCGGGGCATTAAATGCGGGGAGACATGCGTCTAATCAACCGTCAGAAGCTTTTCAGAGGGAATCATAGTAGTTCCCGCCAAAAAGAGTGTTTCTACCAACTTCCCGGTGACACAAAGTTATGTGTCCGGAAAGCAGGTGGACTATCTGTATACGGTAAAATACGCTATGCTAAGTGACCGCTTAACAAGATGACATGTGGAACTCAAGGCGGGGGGCAGTTAGAACCAAAGGCAATTATCCCGTTTATCACCGGAAAGAATGACACCCAAAAAGATACAACAAATATTCTTCTATCGGTAGCATTTAATAAAGAATATTCCACATCATTTAGTGCACTGGCCGTTACAGAGAAGTTGTCATTTATGCTCGCCATTAAACCTTCATCAATGACCCTCATAATTGACACTAAAGAATAGCACGATCTTAGGACTTTGTTTCCTAGGCATAATTGTAAATAATGAGCTCTGTTATCATTGTAAAGGAGGACTTTTCTGGCAAACATACGCTATAATCGATTAAAAGCTCTATACAATTTTACTTCCTTGTTCTTTGGTTTCATCACTGTTGTGCTCGGAAGCTCTGCCCCTAGAATTACTGTTTTTCGTGATTTCATCTTTATTTCAAGGCTAAGTATTGCACATTTCTTTAATTATTTGAGGATCAAATTAATTTAATTATCTGTAAATTACGTATATAAATTCAATTGTACCGTAACAAGCATGAATTCGAACGTTAACTTGATTACGTGTTTTAAAAAATTTTAGCCGCATTTATTTTTAATTAAATAGATAGGAATCGAGCTTTCAATTATAATTAGTTAGCCAAAAGGAGCTTTAAAGGTCAATTGAAGTGATGGAAAAAGTGCTTTTGGTACTGTAAACGAATTTATTTGAAACTATTTATTTATGGATTATGAATACATTTTAAAATACCAAAATTCATCCACGAAAGCTACAAGCCTATAATAACGTACTTAAATTGTGTTTATGATAATTTTTCTTTAAATATGGACACACTTTAACTAAAATTGATATTTTCAGAAGCAAATCGAAAGTCACTAAAAGATGGTAGGAGAAGTGGAGAAGATGGTGGCAGTAGGGCTTGTTTGGGGAGCGACGAATGCCCTGATGCGAAAAGGAGCAATCAAATGGGACGAAACCGTCAAATCTTTACCTCAACCAAACACACCCCAGAACCCAGTAATGGCCAGTCTCAAGAATTGGCTCAAACTTGTGTTGATATGGCAGTATTCTTTGCCATTTCTCCTAAACCTGTCAGCTTCAGCTACTTTCTTTGCAATACTCAGTGATACACCCATTTCTTTAGCTGTTCCTGTAACCAATGCCACCACTTTCGCTGCCACTGCTGTATTTGGATTGATTCTTGGTGAAGAGACCCGCGTTGGTCTTGCTCTTTTTGGTACCTCTCTTATTGTTCTTGGTGTTTATATTTGTATTATGTAATTTGACTCTTCCTTTTGGATCTTGTGTGATCTCATAGATTCATTTATAATGCTGAATAGGGAATTTTGTTTTTATATATAATAATCCCTAGAAAGTTTTTTTTTTCCTGAAAATTTGGGAATGATCGGGTTTGAATTGTTGATGATCTTGTCAATTTGGTTTGTTAATTTCCGCATTTAATAGGAGAAATTTATCCCCCATTTTTTTGATAGCCAAACTCCGCCAATAATAGGCCCGCCCCTCTATCCTTCTCCGCTTAAATACTGGACTTGGTTCAACAGCAAGATTGGGACTCACCAGATGCGCCTATCCTGCTAACTTATCCCGGTATTTGCACTAACACAATAGATGCATGACTTAGGTTAATTAACACATAGCTATGATTGATTGACTAGCGCTCCTTTTAGAGTTAATATCTGTTGGTTTATAGGGTGTTGCTAGGTTTTTGCCCAGTTAATGCTCATTAGCCAAAATTCCAGCTAGGAATAGTGACACAGGCTATCATGAATTGAATAATGTAGAGAACATATTTCAGATAGCAAGGCTGTATGCTATATGGTGTTATCAAATTAACATTTTTTTCATTTGGGTATTGGCGTAGGCTTCCGTAACTCTGTAGTCTGTTCCTAGCTTTTTATGTTTCTTTAGTTATCTTCTTCGCTCACCTTCAAAACTTGAAAACATATTTTCACCTTTTCCTTACATTTCCATGTTACTCTCCTAAGTTTGAGATTGTTGCAAATCTTATATGCAAACTTTGTGCAAAAGAAGAATGAGGACAACAAAGTTACACCATTCAATCCCTCACATCTACAAGATCTCATTTCAAGGACAACTATATCATCACAAATTTCCGTGGGGTGACCTTAAGTGGGAAATTTTAAGTTTACTCTTACGCTTAGTTCTGAAGTCCATTCTGAAGCCATAATTAGAAAGCAATCAACAAGTTATTGCCAAAAACACTTAAATCTTGATTGAAAAATATAGTAAGAAAGCTTCTAGACTCTTACCTCCAACAAGTTATTGCCAAAAACACTTAAATCTTGATTGAAAAATATAGTAAGAAAGCTTCTAGACTCTTACCTCCAACAAGTTATTGCCAAAAACACTTAAATCTTGATTGAAAAATATAGTAAGAAAGCTTCTAGACTCTTACCTCCAACAAGTTATTGCCAAAAACACTTAAACCTTGATTCAATGAAAAGGGAAAAAAAATGAGGTCCTTTAGCTAGGTCCAACTAGAGACAATCCACTTTGCCCCTAATATAGGTGGAACAAGTTAATACAGTGACCTTATGAAAATGGTGATCAAAGCGCTCTAAAATTGATCAAAGCCATTTTGAGGCCACTTATGTTGAGGAGAACAAAGGATACCAAGGACAAAGAAGGAAGGTACTTATTCTACTTTTTTCAAATATTCTTTATCCTACCCTTCTTTCAATTGATGCATACATAGCTTTTTACTCAGCACTTACATATTTTCTTCTGAAATCAGGCTGATACTTGTTCTCCCTCCGACTGATATTCAAGTCATTCAGTGTATACAATCAGAAGCCGAACATGACTTCTATGATGCCCTCTTCAAGAGATCTAAAGTAAGAATAAGATTCTTCCAATGTAAAATTTGAGGGGTCGTTTGGTTCAAAATCAGGATAACGATAACCAGGATCAAAACTTGGATAACTTATCCCACTTTCTATATGTGATAATTATATCAAGATTTTGGTACAAAATAATACCGGTAACTAATACATCTAACCAAACACGGGATACATTTAATAACAAAATGTATACCGGGATAACCTACCTAATCCCTTGAACCAAACGGCCCCTGAATGTTGTTTGGTTCTTGAAATTTTACCATTTAATTGCTTTGAGTTTCTTGTATTCTTGAACGCGAAATGATCGTTGTTGCTAATGGAATGTATGTTTTATACTTTTGTTTTTGGTGAATAAACCAGGTTCAATTTGATCAGTTTGTGGCACAAGGAAAAGTTCTTCACAACTATGCTAATATTCTCGAATTACTACTTCGATTGAGGCAGTGTTGCAATCATCCTTTCCTTGTTATGAGGTTAAAATGAGTCATCAATCTATTAAAACTTGAGCAACATATCTTGTTAGTTTCTTCATGGATCTAACACTATATATTTACTGCTTGTAAATATGCAGTCGAAGCGATACACAAGAATTTGCAGACTTAGACAAGCTAGCAAGAAGGTTCTTGGAAACAAATCCTGATTCTACAACACAGAAAGCACCTACACCAGCATATGTAGAAGAAGTAGTTGAAGGAATTCGTAATGGCGAAAATACAGAATGTCCTATATGCCTTGAGTCAGCAGATGATCCTGTGTTAACACCATGTGCTCATAGAATGTGCAGAGAATGTCTACTTTCAAGCTGGAGAACTCCAGCAAGTGGACTTTGTCCAATTTGTAGACAAATGATAAGGAAAAATGAGCTATTTACGTGTCCATCCGAAAATCGGTTTAGGATTGCTGTTGAGAAGAATTGGCAAGAATCATATAAGGTTTCAAAACTGTTGGAATGTTTAGAATCTATAAGAAAATCAGGTTCTGGTGAAAAGAGCATTGTGTTTAGTCAATGGACTACATTTCTTGATCTTTTGGAAATTCCACTAAAGAAAAAGAAAATTGGATATTTGAGGTTTGATGGAAAGTTGGTGAAGAAACAAAGAGAAAGGGTCTTGAAAGAGTTCAGTGAGACTAATGAGAAAACAGTAAGTAGTATCAATCTATGTTGTTCCGACTCTCCAAAATATCGTCGAGTGCATGTCGGATAATCCAAAGATAGTATTTTTTTGAAGGATCTAACGTGGGTGCGACAATATTTTTGGAGAGTCGAGCAACATAGTACCAATATACTAATCTGTTTTCTTCAATATTTTTTGCTCAGCTCTTCTGAAGTTCTAACCTTTTTTATTTTATTTCAATGTGTTCAGATTTTGTTAATGTCACTAAAAGCTGGAGGTGTGGGCTTGAATTTAACAGCAGCTTCTAATGTCTTCCTCATGGTAATCTCTTTCTCATACATATATATGTATATATTATATGTTGGTTGGATCCTTCAAAAATGATGCCGCACTCGTGTTAGATCCTCCTAAATGAATAATTTTTGGAGGATCCATTCAGGGGTGAAGGTACATAGTTGACCACCCTTAGTCGAAAAATTACGCGGTATATATAGATAAATTATTAGAATTTAATGGTATATAACATATATTGAACACCCTTTATTAGGGATTTTTTTTTACTTATTTCAAGTTTGAATACCCTAAATAAAATTCTTAGTTTCGCCACTAGATCCAGTACACATGCACTTTTGAAGGACACGAGAAATATAATACTCCCTCCGTTTCAATTTATATGAACCTATTTTTTAAGTCCGTGCCAAAAGAATTACTACTTTCCTTATGTGGAAACAATTTACTTTTATGAAATGATTTATAACCATACAAAATATATGTGCCTCATTTTTACACCACAAGTTCAAAAGTTTTCACTATTTTCTTAAACTCCCTGCCCAGTTAAATGAGTTCACAAAAATTGAAACGGAGGGAGTATATATTTTCTATGTTTCTCTTTTCTATTTCTTGCCTTGTAAATAGTCTCTTGCAGAAATGCAGGTTAAGACTGCATACGATGGACCCTTATGGTCCAGCACTTTTCTGAATTCCACGCTTAACGGGAGTTTAGTGTACCGGGCTGTCCTTTTCTCTTTCAGTTTCTTGCCATATGATTGTTGATGTTATTACTTTTAATCATTGTAGGATCCATGGTGGAATCCTGCAGTAGAAGAGCAAGCAATAATGAGAATTCATCGTATTGGTCAAAAGAATACAGTTCGTGTTAGAAGGTTCATTGTTAAGGTAAAGATTCCTCATTACAAAAGCTGTCTTACACATTATATTACTGTCACTTCCAAATAATTTTCTTGATAGAATTAAGAAAGAATCCTAAGTTTATTATATGCTTGCCTTTGTGGTTAATTCCTCCTCATATAATATAAAGTCAAGTTAATCTTCTTAGTTTTTTCTTCATATATAACTAAGTATCAAACATGACAATTGAGGCTTGCTCAGTTGGTAAAGCACCTCCACCCACGACCGTTAGGTCCTGGGTTCAAGTCACCCCAAAGAGGAAATGTAGAGATACTATAGATCCTCTTAAATTGGGAGGGAATTTTAGAAAAAAATATATCAAACATGTCACATAGACATCTAAGGGCGTAATCTAGAGATAATTTATACAAGTAATAATCACGAAAAATTAGGGTTCAAATATCAACCGAGTCAACTTTTACATAGATTGTTTTTACTTGTAGCATGTAATATATAATATTATCAAGATTATAAATCTCATGTTTTAAAGAGTTCTACTTGTAAATATTTTTTGAGCGACCGTTCAGTATAAATTCTTTGCATTGACTCTCTCTCTCTATATATATCTTATTTTAGAAAAAATTATGTTAAACATGTGACCTAGCATTAAAACTCGATTTATTCATAGTGCACCACTTGGTCCAAAACCTATGTTGCACGGACTCTCAAAAATGCTGCCGTATCCATGTCGGATTTTCAAAAAATACACTACTTTTGGAGGATCTGACACGATCCCGGTGACATTTTCAGAGAGTTCGAGCAATATAGTCCAAAACTACATGAGTGATTTCTTCATCTATTTCCATAAATACAAGAATAAAGGTTAATTTTATTTTTTTTACAACTTTGTATTAAAATTTTTGTTAATTTTGTATTTTAGTTTATAAATATTAATGATTGTCTTTATGGAAAATGGGGTGTAGGACACAGTAGAAGAAAGAATGCAACAAGTACAAGCAAGAAAGCAAAGGATGATAGCTGGAGCTTTGACTGATGAAGAAGTACGTTCAGCTAGACTTGAAGAACTCAAGATGCTTTTTCGATAGTTGATTTTAACCAATTAAAAATCCCAATTATATTTATATAATTGGATTTAAAATTAGAGAAAAAAGAGGGAAAAAAGGAAATTAATGCTCAAGAGGTGGATAATTTTTTTTTGTATAGTCCCAACTATTCCACCTGAATTTTGTAAAGTCTTGTAAAAGTAACAAACTATGGGTTGGTTGATCCTCTTTTTTTTAAGATATGTTATTTTTGTCTATGCTTTGGCTTTTTAAGTCCATAGGTTTTGTATATTCTTCGTCTGTAAACGATGAGAGGTGGATTTAAAATTTAAATTTAATTTGCTTAACTTTTAAAATTATTAGTATTAGACTCATTATACTGTTAAAATTATAAGTTTAAATCTAATATTTGTTAAAATTTAGTAGGATTTTATATATAAATTTATACGCATTCTGGATTCAGTTGAGCCCGTAGTTGAAAAGCTATATTCGCCTTTGTCAATGATGGTTCAATTGTTTTTGGCCAGTAGGCAACTTTAGAACTACAGATATTCTAATGATCAAATGACAATTCTTATCTTGGAAGAATAATGTGTTACTCTTCCAGTTTCATTTTATGTGATTTTATTTAATTGAGCATGAAATTTAATTATTATTTTTTTTTAAAAAAACGTATGATTTGTTAAATATGTCATAATATATATGTGTTTATAAAAAATTATTTTTAAAAATAAAAGAAATTACATAAATTAGAGATGTCCACTTGTAAACCTATAAAGTAATGCGATTAACATGTCAAAATTAAACAAGTGTCTATTAGATTATTCTACCTTTAATAATTCGATAAGTATCCTAACATGAAAAGCCTTAGGAGTTGTTTGGTTACGAAGATGAGATAGACGAATTAGCTTTCTCGCCTTCTATATATAGAATAACTAGTTTTATCATTTTAGTACAAAATGAAAGACTATTTCCTCTCTTATTGGGTTTCTATGCATCCTTACTTCAATCTCTATCTATGCATGTCACCTTTCTTTAAGAGATGGACTCATTCAAATGGTAACTGAATCATTCTAATAGTTTCAAACAAGTTTTGTATGGACTCTTTCTCGAATGGACATCTGTGTTAGGTAGGTCCGGGGATTATTGATTAGTTGAACGAGCCCATCTCTTTGACCTATCATTTGTTGGTCGATTCGATTGGCGACTCTTGTATTTTCTAGCCTTTCTATAGAGCCTGCTAATATTTCGTTTCATCTTTTCTTGAGCTGACGGTCTATCAGAAACAAACCTCTCTATCTTTTCAAGATAGGGATAAAGTCTGCATATACACTACCTTCCAAGAGTCCACTTGTGATATTTTACTAAGTTTGCTATTATTATTGTAGTTTAAAATAATTCTTGAAACTAATTAATACTCATAATTAGGGGTGACAAACGTGTGGGTCGGGTCGGATATGAGACGGGTCAAAGCGAGTAATGAAAAAATGGATAAATTATCTGAGCCGGCCCATATTTAATACGGATAAAAGATGGGTTAATCGGCGAATAATATGGATATCCAGATTATCCATGACTTCTTGAATATGATCACTTTTGGGATAATTCATATTCGCCCAAACTTGAGGAATCCCAATTTGAGGTTTTATAAATATAAAAGTTAAATCTATTAATTATTCACTGATTATCTATTTTTTAAATAAATAATATAGCTCTTATTCATATTTGATTTATTTTTAAAAAATTTATTATTTAATCCATTTTTAGTAGATAATATAAGGGGTCGTTTGGTTGGAATATGATTTATACCGGTATAAGTTATACCGGTATAAGTTATATTGGGATAAGTTATGCTGAGAATAGTTATGCTGAGATTGTTGTTTATTTATTGTTTGGTATGTTGTATTAAGAATGACAATTGTATAATTTCTAAGAAGAATGTATAAGTTATACCGGTGCTAATTATCCCACCTTCTATAAGGTGTAAGTTATCCCAGTGTTAAAATTAATACCGGGATAACTTATACCTGATTTGCTAACCAAACAGAGTATTAAGATGATATTAAATTTTTATACTACCCTTATACCTTCCTATACCTTATACCAAACGAACCGTAAGTGATCAATTATTTTGCCACCCGTACTCATAATCAAAGGCGAAACAATATAATCTTGTATTTTATCTTAAATTCTTGAAACAAAGGGAGTATATGGGTCAGATACAGGCGGTGACAGCAAGATCAAGACAATGAAGATAACAAGAAATATTTGATCCCACGTGAGTTTGTCTACTGTCGACAAGTTTTATTTTGTGTCTCGTACAACTGATATTAATTGTACGAGGTTCATTTTTGTCTCATAAATTTGTGGACCCCAATCTTATACTTCTGGGTCCACAAAAATCTGGATTCACAAAACTATAAAATAAAAAAATTACCTTATATAACTAGTGTTAATTGTATGAGACACAAAATAAAATTTTTTGTCTACTGTGCGACTTGCGATGTTCTAAGGATAAAAACTGACCACGTAAGTTGAACTTTAACGGCAAAAAATTGTAATAATACCAGATACAATAACGATGTCGATTCTATCCTCGATAGCGCGGAGACGAATCTAAAATTTAAATCTTATAGGTTCAACATTTAAGGTTCTTAATACCGAATTCATTATAATTTTTAAGTTATAGATTTATACCTGTAATTATTATGATTTTAGTGATTTTTATACATAAATTTATATTTCGCATCGAAATTATGGGTTCAATTGGATCTAATATTATAGGGCTACATCCGCCCCTGCACTTGGGGTATTTGTAGCCGTACTTTATATTTGTGCCACCTTTTAACTTATACCCTATTTTTAAAATTTATTGATTTGGTAGCCAATTGACAAAAATTCCGTAATAATATGACAATTACACCCCTAATAAATCGCGTGATCTCCAATCTCATTCATGAAATGCATGCTGAAGTTATTTACCATGTAGTCTACAGTTTTTTCATGAGTTTTATTCGAAACTTCAGTCTAAATACGCTGAAGTTATTTAGTTCATTTGCTAAAATTTCAGTTTAAATATGCTGAAGTTATTTAGTTCATTTGCGAAAACTTCAGACTAAACATGCTTAAGTTTTTGTCTTGCAGTATGTAATTTTCTAATGAGTTTTTGCTAATGCATGCTGAAGTTATTTAGTTCATTTGCTAAAACTTCAGATTAAACATGCTTAAGTTATTTAGTTCATTTGCTAAAACTTCAGATTAAACATGCTTAAGTTATTTAGTTCATTTGCTAAAACTTCAGATTAAACATACTTAAGTTTTTTAGTTCACTTGCTAAAACTTCATGCCAAAACATGCTAAAGTTTTTTCCTGCAGTCTACGATTTTGTCAATAGTCCTGAAGGGCAAAATCGTCTTTTAAAACACTTTTAACAAAAAAAATGGATACAAATGCAAACGGAAAAATAAAACGAGTATAAATTAAAAGGGATCGACTAAATAGGACACCCCGTACAATTTTTACCTTGCATTTGACGGTAGAAAATCACACATATTAATGGAAAGAATATTACCCTTTCGAAACTCCATGTATAATTTATCTTTTTAATATGATTTACGAGTTACTATACTAGACGAGATTTATCTAGAGTACTCTGAAAGGAGTTTCCTAGTTGACCAAAAAAAAAAATATATTATTACCTTTTTTGATATTTTGGTAAATCCAAAGACATATGAAAAATCCCAAGTATGGTTCATAGAAAAAAGACACGTTCAAAGATGCTAAGATACCACTAATTAACCTTTGACGAAGCGATAGAGCCCATTCTTTCAGTCGGTTGAAAAGTAATCACATTAGTATAATTAAGACAAGACTCTGACATTAAATAATGACAGCTAAATTTTAAATATATATATATATATATATATATATAATTAATTAATATTTTAATACAAATACATAATTTGAATAAAAGCCAGTGAATTCAATCATCTCCGAGTATTTACCTCCATTGCATCAAGGCCTTTTTGATGTTAATAGCCTATTTGGCCAAGCGCCTTTTTAGCTAAAAATATATTTTTCTCAAAGTTAAAATATTTAATCTAGCTTTTAACAGAAAAAAATACTTTTGAGTAGAAGCAAAAATAATTTTTGAAAAGCAAAAAAAACAAAGCTTCTTTGCAAAAACACTTTTATAAAAACATTTGGGAAAAACATTTAAAAATAATTTTAGAAACTTAATCAAACACTAATTGCTCATCAAAAACGCCTTCCTGATGTTTTTTGGAAGGGCAACGTAAGGCTAAGCAATTGATGTTAGTACGGTTGCTGTCCGCCAACTGAGGTCCCCTCCGTACGGTAGATTAGATTGTCAGTGTCGTAAGGAAAAACCAATCTCGTGAGCTATTGAGAGAACTGAAATGAGCAATTGTGAATGAAAGCTGATAATTGTATTAAAGCTATTACAAAAGGAAGCGGTGTCGAAGGGAAGAGACACCAGTACAGAGAAATGATTGCTTGATCCCCCTGATAATGCTTAAAAAAAACCCAAAATTACATGACTTGACCTGGCTACGCTACAGAAACACTCTGAATGAAAATGAAATGAAACAACTCTATAATTACAATGAAAAAGGACTTAGTTTACTACAAGGTAGAAACAAGTCCGATAGCAGCAACATTGTCTTTTGGGTCAGGGTCTGAGAGCGCGATGCTGTTGGCGCGCGCGACACTTGTTGTATTTGCCTGTGGCTGGGCGCTGGTGCTTGGCATCAGGGTCTGTGCGCGAGGCGCTATTGGAATGGGCCTGCAACTGGGCGCTGGCGAGGCATCAGGATCTGCGCGCGACATTGTCTGTGCTCGCGGCTCTGTTGGCATCATCATGATTTGTGCGAGCGTCATTGTCTGTCCGCGCGGTATTGTTGGAATCTGCCAGCCTCTAGGCCTGGCAAGAGTTATTGGTGGGGCGACAGAGGCACATGCCCGCTTGCCACTTGGCGTTGCCGAGACCACGGGGCCGACCATGGCACGAGGCATTGAGAGGCTTGCTAGGACGCCACTGGACGCGTCCAAGGGGTCATGGGGCGTGGATGAAAAACAGCCCATGACATTCTCCCCCACCTGAGTTGGTTGGCGACGTCCTTGGAGTCTTACCTGCATGGTGATGATCGATCAAGTTGTTGTTGGCTCGGAGGTCTGTTCCCCTCTATGTTTTGAGCTTGCTTTGGAAACGATGTAATGATCTCAGGCGGCTGACATGGAAGACTTAATGGATCTTCCACCATGATGAAGTCTTCACCTAGTATGTGTATTTCCCAATGCGTCTTTTGATGGACAAGGGTCTGATGTGCTTTTGTAGCAGGCGAGGGTCATGGGTCCTCTCTGCAAACAAGTATTGCTTTGGGATGTTTAACATCACTTTATCTCCTGCTTGATGTTGGACAAAGCAAAGATTTTGATCGATGAACCTTTTTACCTACTCTTGGGCTTTGATGAGGTAGCTCTGCACTATCCCTAAATTGGGCTCTAATTCCCTCGAGAAGTTAGCAGCTCGAGGAGATTTTGGCATGATTGATGCATTCATCATTTGCGGGAGAAGCGGTTGTTGTCCGGTAACAATTTCAAAAGCGCTTTTATTTGTATGATGGTTCTTTTGAGAATTGAAACACAATTGAGAAGCATCCAAAAGCTTCACCCAATGCTTCTGTGATCCGGTTGCAAAGTGGCAGAAATATTCCTCCAGCATGTCATTGAATCGATCTGGCTGGCCATTCGATGATGAATGGATGCTTGAGTTGTGACTCAATGTTGACCCAAGGCACTTAAAGAGATGGGTCCAAAAGTTGCTAGTGAAGCGTGAGTCGCATTTGCTAACGATGTCTTTGGGCATACCCCAATATTTGACAATGTGCGAGAAGAAGAGTCGAGCTGTATCTTCTGCTGATATATTTTGCGGGGCTGCTATGAGACATCGTTAGTGAACGCGAATTAGTGAAATTTTACTGAATTGTTGTTGTTGGCTGAATATAAATTATTTCTCACTAAAAATATTTTTAAAAAAATTCAAAATAAGCTAATTTTAGAAGCTTATAAATTCTTCTTCTTTGCTTTCTGTTGAAAAAGACATTAAGTGGGCGTTTGGACATAAGAATTGAAAAATTCCAAAAAAAGTGAATTTTTTTTTCCAAGTAAAATGATATTCGATATTAGAGTTGTGTTTGGACATGAATAAAATTTTGGATTGTTTTAAAATTTCGTGAGTGATCTGAGTGATTTTTTTTTTTTGAGTTTTTAAATATTCGAAATTTTTTAAAATTCATCTTCAAATAAAAATTAAAGATCAAATACTAATTTCGAAAAAAGTAAAATATTTTCGAGGAAAAAAAAATTCTTATGTCCAATCGGGCTCTAAATTTGCATATAACAAAAATTTCCAGTAATAGCCAGCTCAAAATATTCAGCGAAGCCGAGCCACGTGAAAACAACAGAAAACAATCACATCGCCGTTTCTTTGACCATTGACCGAAAATCTTCAATCATATAATTTCCCACTATAAATACCCTTCCCGTAAATTCTCTCCCCTATATCATTCATTTCATTTCTCTGCTCAACGAAACTAAATACGGAGTATTCATTACTTCAAAGTTCAAACTCATGGCGGATATCAAGCAATCGAGTAACTTTTCAGGTGATCGGCGGCAACCGAGCCGGTTACAACAGCGAGCGCCGGCGTCGATTCAAATAAACCGTTCAACCAATTGGAATGTGGCGATACCGCTTTTATCACCGTTGATTTCATCGCCGACTTCTCCTGATTGTAACAACTTAACGGTAGCGATTAATTCCGTTTGCAATAAGATGGTGGAGGTAAAGGAGAAGCCGCCGGCGGCGGCGGCAGCGGTGGTTTTGGTGTTTAAGAAGTGGCAACATCCTGCGACGCCGTTTTGTTACGAAGCGACTCCGTTAGTGCCGTTTGTATTATGTACGGAAACAATCTAACGACGTTTATTTTGAGCTATTTATTTTTCTTAAATTATATATAATACTAGAAGATTTGGTCTATGGATTTCTATGTACGCTGTTGATAATTTCTAGCTTTATTTTGTCCTTTTTTTTGCTATGTAATTAGTATGCTGACGTTGTCAAATTAGGTGATTAACAAGTTGTAAACACTGGTTAATGAAGAGGTATAATATAGATAACTTTTCCTAATGCTAAGTATTATTGGTACTTTCACGGTTTGAACTCGTGATCTATAGATTACACATGATTACTAATTACTAGCACTAGGGGCAGAGCTAGAAGTTTCGTAATAGGTTCGGTCGAACCCGTTAGATTTTTGCTCAAATAGTGTATTTATGTTAATAAATTCATTAAACATATTAAAATTTTAAATTTAGAACTCAATTTTTACCACTTAAAATCAACAACAATAATAATAACAACCCAGTATAATCTCACCAGTGGGGTCTGGGGTAGGATAATGTGTATGCAGACCTTACCCCTACTATGGGGTAACGAGGCTGTTTCCGATAGACCCCCAACATCCCTCCCTCTAAGAACTTCCCACCTTGTTTTGAAATTTAGAACGACGATTTTAAGTGGTAATGGATAATAGTGGGTTGCTCTAGTGATGAGCACTCTCCACTTCCAACCAAGAGGTTGTGAGTTCGAATCACTCCAAGAGCAAGGTAGGGAGTTCTTAGAGGGAGAGATGTTGGGGGTCTATCGGAAACAGCCTCTCTACCCCAGGGTAGGGGTAAAGTCTGCGTACACACTATCCTTATCCCTACCCTGGGGTAGAGAAGCTGTTTCTGATAGACCCCCAACATCCCTCCCTCTAAGAACTCCCAACCTTGCTCTTGGAGTGATTCGAACTCACAACCTCTTGGTTGGAAATGGAGGGTGCTCATCACTAGATCAACTCACTATTATCCATTACCGCTTAAAATCATCGTTCTAAATTCCAAAACCTATAAAGTTAAAATCTTAGCACCACATTTAATTACCACTAATTTTTTTTCCTAACATTTTCCGTATGGTAGGCTGATTGAAAGGGTGAGTAGCTAAGTGTCATGAAAATGGTTTGATTAACCAAACCAAATTAACACATAAAGTAAGTTAGTATAGGAAATGTAAGGTAATTAACTTTACCACTTGTAGGATTTCCAGAGTAAACAACTTATGTTGGAGCATCAATGGATAGAAGTAATTAAAACACAATCTTCATATAATATTGTTTTAAATACCCAATAATTTAAACTACAGATGGATTTTAATTAAAATACTATACCGTACTATTTTCTTATGTGAAATATTTGAATGCTAGGTTTGAATTTAATTGTCTTCTTTTATTTATTTTGTTGGTAAAATCATTCGATATTTGGTATTAACTTTTCGACCATTACAAGATAAGACTACACGAAAATGTCAATATTCCGACCACGATTTCCGTAGGAAATCGATCGGAAATCAACTATTTTCGATGGATCTTCAACAGAAATGAAGTAGTCGGAATATAGATGGTCACAAAAAATTTTCGACCAAAACAATTGCAAATAAGGAAAAACTGGGTGATCGGATAAATTTAAATTTTGCGATCGAAACGGTTGGTAATTTTGCGACCAAATCGGTCACACATTTTAAAGTAAATATTAATCATTTTTTGACAATTCCGACCAATTTGGTCTGAGATTTTAATATTTAATTTAAATTAAATTCATAATTCCCGACCAAATTGGCCGGAAAAATTAAAATTAAATTAATAAATAATTAATTTTTTCGACCACTTCAATCGAACATCTGAGAATTCCTAATTAATTTTTCCGACCAAAGTAATCAGGAACCAATTGGAATATCAAATATTCTATTACAATCTTTTTGGTTCTTGAAACCGAGAGAACTGGAAATAACATCTCTGTATGATAAGTTTGAAGGAGCGTACCGGTAATGGGTATCTCTGGAACTTAAACATGAACTGAAGCGGTTGCGATTGTCATGAGATATGGAGCATGTGAGAAACATTGACGGAAGCTCTTCTATTTGAGATTACGGAGTCACAAATAACTGATTGTTAGAATGTAACTGTCAACCAAAGTCGAACTCAAAAGTTTTGATTAAACATGAAGAAATTTCGTTCTAGCCAAAGAAGAAAAATAATCCTATGCAAACCACCTTTTATTTATTAACTAGTTAAAGTTGGCCCATGCTGAGCACGGGCCCAATAGCTGTATTCGCGAGATATTGATATATGTAAGTAGTTATGTGATATATGGTCTTCTTTTTTTAACTTAGTGTTTTGTGTTTTATACCGTCAACCTTTCTATGACAATATCATTTGTTTTGACGTATTTTTGCCTTCTAGAAACGATATGCTTATTTTAATCGGATACGTGTAAAGTTTTTGATGATTCTAAAATTAGCACATTATTCAACTTGATTATGAGCCGTGGAAACAACCTCTGGCAGAAATGCAGGATAAGGCTACGCACAATAGACCCTTGTGCCCAGGCCATTTCCCGAACCACACACATAGCGAAAGCTTGGTGCATCAGGGTGCTCTTTTCTCAACTTAGCTATTGGTTATGACAATCTATAACCTTTTGTAGGGATTGAAGTTAAGCTACATAAGGATAGTCGTAAAGAAATCAGGAGCGTTTTAGACAGTAATCCTTAACAACCACATTTTTAATCATATTCAACTAAAAATTTCAAGTACGAAAATCTTCTAATAATTTTAAGATCTTTCCTAAAAGATGTAAAAAAAATTAAAACGAACATATAAATTCACAGTTCCTTTGCATGGTCAAGTTTCTAATTAAAAGCCTTGGAGTAAAAATAATTAATA